CTAATGCTAAAATATTTTAAGTTAAATTTTCTTTTTTTTTTTTTAAAGCAAAATAAGTTTAAAAGGGAATCTGTGTCATTCAACTGATAAACAGAAGATCACTAAGAGATGAAAAAAAGCTACTCTTGGAGCTCACTTCCCCCAACAAGAGCACCACATTCCTAACCCTAAGGCAGCACACAGAGTCCAAAAAAAAAGTCTTTTTGTAAGATCAGACTCCACATTGGCTTAAAGACACCTAAAAAACAGACATACGCTCAGTTCATATCCAGTACAGGCCACAAATACTGGAGTCCTTTTTCTTGTCCCACAAAATACAGTAATTACAGTTAAATTAATGAGCCTGACATTAAGATGTGATTTCCACCAATTTATGCCTGCCCCAAACAGCCTTCACCAGGCAGATCACATGTAGTGTCATATCAGTAACCTTTTTGATGGCAGTGATGCAGACCCTCTTTCTGTCCAAGAAAAACTTTTGTTATGATGCAAGTTTTTGTTGATTCATACAAATACTTTGGCAAGGGCATCAGCTCCTGCACTGGCTATATATGCTTTTGATGGATGGAAAGCAACATCATAAATTGATTCATCCAATTTCTTCCTATGAGCTGTTATTTCTTGCACACACGTCTTGCTGTCTAAATTCCACAATCTGATGGAACAGTCATGGCCTGTAATACAAGAACAAAATTTGTTACTGAGTGAACAATTCTTTTATAAAGCTTATGGGAAGTACAGGAAATTCAGACTTACTTCCAGACATCAAATAAATTCCATTAGGATCTACTGCTAGACTTGTAACAGCATCCAAATGAGCTACCATAGAATGGATCATTTTACCTAAATAAAACATAACAGAAGATTAAGTTTTCACAAATACTAACTTGAGAGATCAGAAACTATAATACAATATCAACGTAAAATAGACAATCACTATAACATATTTTTTATTGTGGTAAAATAGATATGACATAAAATTTACCATTTTAACCATTTTGAGAGTACACAATCCAGGCTTTTAGAGCATTCAAAATGTTGTAGAACCATCCCCACTACCTAGTTCATAACATTTTCATCACTGCAAAAGGAAAAATTGTACCCATTCAACAGTCACTCCTCATTGGTCCTCTCACCCAAGCCCCTGGCAACCACTAATCTGTTCTGTCTATAGATTGGCCTAGTCTGGATGTTTCATATAAATGGACTTACACAATATGTGATTTTTGTGTCTGACTTCTTTCACTTAATATAATGTTTCCAAGATGCACCCACTATAGTAATATTTTCAAAAGAATTTTAATTTGAATGCAGAGCTTTGCAGATAATTACTCCTAAAATAGACATCTATGTGAATTTGAGAGTATCTGATAGACACTGTAAAACGTAGTGACAATAGGGTTTTATCAAAGGCTTAAGATCCTGTAAACTGGAATTAAAATGAAAATAGAATCTAAGAGACCCTATGATTATTTTACATACATGGGTTAATGAATAATAAATAAATCCACAGAAAATATATTCCTTCCTAAAGATTCTAGTATCAAGTTCATTTACCCTTTGAAATGTTAATCACTTTATATATATGAAACAAGAAAGGATAAGGGGGCAGAACTATTAATATATCAAATTACTCTGGATTTTCCCCAGATGTAAATAAAAACACTGCTCCTGGAAAATGTTATTTTTTTTTTTTTTGAGACAGAGCCTTGCTCTGTTGCCCGGGCTAGAGTGCCATGGCATCAGCCTAGATCACAGCAACTTCAAACTCCTGGGCTCAAGCAATCTCTGCCTCAGCCTCCTGAGTAGCTGGGACTACAGGCATGCGCCACCATGCCCAGCTAATTTTTTTATATATATATTTTTAGTTGTCCAGATCATTTCTTTCTATTTTTTAGTAGAGACGGGGTCTCGCTCTTGCTCAGGCTGGTCTTGAACTCCTGACCTTGAGCAATCCACCCGCCTCGGCCTCCCGGAGTGCTAGGATTACAGGCGTGAGCCACCGCGCCCGGCCTGGAAAATGTAATTTAATGAGTATCTTCACTAAAGATTTGGCAAGCGAATGGAATTCAACAGCAAATTGAAATTAAAAAAACAAATTGTGAATAAAAGTTGTATTGTGCAAATGCTTTGGGGCAAGGGCATCCTGCAATATAAGCTTTTGATGGATGGAAAGCAGTATCATAAAGTGCTTCATCAAGAAGGGAATAAAACAGCAAATACTGACACTTAAAATTTACTCCCCTTTCACTTAGCAATGAGTCTTTATTACTCAAATGCCTGGGATGCCTCTAATGAGAGATGGGGGCTTTCAACAAAAATTCTTACTATAATCATTTGTCATGCTTTGGGTCCCCTGAGGACATTTGACACTGGGACATGAAAGAGGTCTACTTTTATTACTTGTGATGTGGCTATAGCTGTAGACCTGAATGCAAAACCACAACATAATCAAATGTGCAAAATATACTCCAAAACAATCGTAAAAAGTCTTATCACTTTCTGACTACACTAAACACTTATCAGTTGAGGACAAAATTTAAAAAGTCTGTTATTTCAAACCACAGTTGTCTGTTTCTCATTAATACTAAGACTGATTAACAGAAAATTTTAGAAACTCTTCTCTGCTAGCCTGAGGAACAGAAAAAAATCATTCCGCATTCAATCTTTAATTGCTTAGTACAACATAACTCATTTATCAATTCTAGAACCCACTCCTCTCAACATTCAAAGAAAGGAACCCAGTGTATAAAATGGTTGCCCTCCAAGACAATAATTTCAAAATACTAGGGGTTAAGTACCAAGCATCATTAACTTTTTACCCTGAAAATGTCAAATTTATGACAGTAAGTCTTAATTCACAGATCTGGTCCTGACTTCTCTCCCAAGAATGACTGTGTTATCTCCTAAAATCTACATGTCTTAAACCAAAAAACTTCTTTTATCCAACACCAGATCCATACATTTCTTTAAAGGTGATATACTTTTCCAAGTTTAACTCCAGCCCTCCTTGCCTGTGTACTAAACTGACCTTCACCCTGGTATCTTAGTCAATTCAGAGTCAACCCCTTTTTTCCACACAGTTACAAAATCACTTCAAAACGTGAGTAATCCCTTCAAATGGACCATGAATAAACATGTACAATGCTGAACCAAGCTGGATGTTGGGCCTTCCACTGGTGATCACATAAATCACAAAACTGTTGATCCCTCCCAATAACTAGACCCCTCCTTCATCAATATATACCTGCAGCTTCTCACATTTAACCAATTTCATTTTGGCCCCATGCCTATGCTAACATCTTCCCCACCAAGACTAATTTTTTCCTCCTATAACTAAGGGAATAAAGAGTGGACACATGCAGTCACTCAATTTCCCCTCCTTGGCACCTTAAGTCCTTCTACTGGCCAACTGGTATTGTGGACTTCTATGAAATGGAAAGGAAATAAAGACTGATGTTAAAAAAAAAAGTGAACTATGGAAGCGAACTGTACGAGTCTGAAACCCAACCCAGTAACTTTTATCTGTTGAATAACACTTTACAATTCACTTAAATTCTTTAAGCCTTTTAACCTCATGTGTAAAATGGGGATAATACAGTACTGTATCTACTTTATAGAGTTAAAGACCAAATGAGTTAACATATATAAATCAAATAGAACAATGACTCACAAAGAATAAGCAATAAACCACCAGTCTGTAAGCTCCAAAAGGACAGGACATGTTGTTTTTGTTCACCAGGTATCAAGAATTGTGCCAAGTATATGGTAGATACTCAATAAATTTTGCTGGAAGAATCACTCCACAACTGATTCAGGAACTTCTCTCACTCCTCACATCCCTCACTTGTACCAAACCTTCTCCTACAGTCACTCACTACCTAAGTCTTTCAGGAACAGTACAGGCAGCTCAAATTTGTGCTTCTACCAAAAGTGTTAAAAACAATGGGCCCTGAAGATCTCTCTAGAATAAAGAGTAGAAATTGAAAATTTAAATCCTTTAAAGTCAAAGAGCTACCGTATAGTGAGAAGTGTGACTTGATTAATCTTTCTAAACCAATTTGCAAACCCCTCTTCAACTATTTTTAGTGGCTCCCACAGAATATATCGTAAACGAAAACCCAGTATTTTTAACCTGGCTCTAAAAAAAGTCCTCCTCAGTAGATTCTAGTTTCCTTCTCCAAACTTATCTTTGGCTTTCCCTATAAGAAACTTCTGTTCCGCCGGGCGCGGTGGCTCACGCCTGTAATCCTAGCACTCTGGGAGGCCGAGGCGGGAGGATCATTCTGAGCTCAGGAGTTCGAGACCAGCCTGAGCAAGAGCGAGACCCCGTCTCTACCAAAAAATGGAAAGAAATTAATTGGACAGCTAAAAATATATGTAGAAAAAGTTAGCCAGGCATGGTGGCACGTGCCTGTGGTCCCAGCTACTCGGGAGGCTGAGACAGTAGGATTGCTTGAGCCCAGGAGTTTGAGGTTGCTGTGAGCTAGGCTGATGCCACAGCACTTGCCCCAGGCAAGAGAGTGAGACTCTGTCTCAAAAAAAAAAAAAAAAAGAAACTTCTGTTCCTATCACTGTGTCTCTGCTCAAAATATCCTCTAATCTGGAATTTCCTACTACTTTCTTCTTCACTTAAAAACAAAAAAACTTACCATTTCTTAAAAGAAAGCTCAAACACCCATGCTACAACTATCAAGACTGATCTAGTAGGGCTCATCTTTTGTGTGTATATACATACTTACATATACATACACACACACACATATATATATCTATTAGTCCCAGATACTGTAGCAGGAACCACATCTTACACATGATAGTATCCAGCACAGTATAGAATACAAAATGCTACATGTTTTTGTTATTAAAATGATTTACTCATTTAAATATTTACTGAACTAGTTCACAGTACCAATTTCCATGTTTCAGATTCAAAAAATCCAATAAACTATTCATTTTATAAAACAATAGTTTATTAATAACTCTGCTAACCAGAAACACCAGTTATGGAGGTGGTCCAAGTTTACCGCATTTAAATGAGTTACCAATTTTCAAAAAAGGATTTCTTTGAAAATGCCATATCTGAAAACAATTCATAGTTTAACGTAACTCAGTAGGGTGTATGTATGTGTGTATGAGTGAGTGAGAGAGTGAGTGAGAGAGAGAGATGTCAATTTAGAAAGAATCTTTCCATTGTTTGGAGCCTATTGCTTCAATGATCTTCACATTAATGGTACTAGATTAGTTAACAGAAAGAATTGGTAGAATTTAGAAATAATCTGAAGGACTACATGCTCCTTATTTCTGTTATTGAGTAAAATTTTACTGACCACTTTCTTGATTTCTTCTAGTAAAATCAGCTCTGTAGACTCACCTTTTGCTTTTTTTTTTTTTTTTTTGAGACAGTCTCTCTCTGCTGCCCAGACTAGAGTGCAATGATATCATTGTAGCCTACTGCAACCTCCAACTCCTGGACTCAAGCCATCCTCCTGCCTCAGCCTCCCCAGCAGCTGGAATTATAAGCTTATGCCACCACATCCAACTAATTTTTCCATTTTTTGAAGAGACGGGGTCTCACTTTTCCTCAGGCCGATCTTGAACTCCTGAGTTCAAGCAGTCCTCCCATCTCAGCCTCCCAGAGTGCTAGGATTACAGGCGTGAGCCACCATGCCCAGCATCACCTTTTGCGTTTAATACAACTACTAAAATTTCTGAACCTCTCCCTACAAATGTAAATCTTCAAAAATTAATAAAAAGAATCTTTTTAGAAACACAAAGGAAATTACCTCTCTGTTCTTGCAGCAGAGGAAGACATTTAGGCTTCATAAAAATGGTTCAAAGGATTGATTTGATAAGGTGTTGAGAACATCCACATGAATGTGAATCTTATTTCCTGTGCAATAGGTAGACCTGTGAATATTCATTCTGTTCCCAATTTGTTCTATTGAGTTAAAAGGAATCTGTCTATGAAAGCGTTATTTGAACAAAAGTATCTTAATGTAAGACTCCAAAAACTAAAACTCATTGCCATGTCCTAGATAACCTTCAAAGAGAAACCTATAATTCTAGTTCACTGTCTTACTTGATAATTTGTTGCCATGTAATCATGTTGCGATTAACATTTAAGTTTCTTATTTGGAAGGCCTTTAATACTTCAAAACCCTGACTGTTTTAGCTTCTTCTCAAAGTAGCCTTTCTAGAGGTCAGACCTTTCCTGAAAGAGAGCAAGCAATTATTTTATATAGTAGTCTACATAATGATGGATAAAGAGAAGGACCCCGAAAAAACAAAACAGCACAACCTATGGCTAAATTAAAATTTGATCTGACTTCAACACGACCAATATATTTCCTTACAACAAGAAATACAGGGATGATGACAATAAACAATGTCATCATATATAAACTATACTATCATTTGATCCACTGAAAAATAGTTTTAAGAAAATATTTGAAATGCCAAATGCCAGAAAGAGACCTCTTCTGCTTTATTTATTCACAACAGAATATGAAGGAAAAAATTTCAAATGGGAGGCTTTATATTTAACTAACATAACATGAAGAAATTATAATAGGTAAGCAAGGTATTATTGTATAGTTAAGGATAAAACTTAACATACATTGTTAAGTGTGCTACATTAAGAAAAGCAAAAATCTGAGTTAAAATGGTTTAACTTGGCAATTTCATAGCCAAAAACTCAACATACCCTATATAAAAGAATAGCATTTTGATCATATCAAATTTACAGTATTGTTAATATGAAAAGAAGACAATTTGCTTACCCGTTTTATTGTCAAAAAATTTGATGTGTCTATCTTCATGAGCAGTTATTGTAACAGGAAGCGTGGGATGACTTACTACTCTGTTAATGTGAATATTGGATTGTAAACCTGAAAAAAACAATACACTAAAATTCAAACCTTCAATTAGAAACTGGATGATGGCCTTTCTAGTCTTGCTAAAATATAAGAATCATTAAAAACTATAAGCTTTTGCATAAAACAAAAAGTTTGAGAACCAAAGGTTCGAGGGAGATCTATTTTTTTAAAAAATACACAATTTATCATGTCCCATAGTATGTATGGTACTAGGCTCAAATTTAGAAAAAATTAGAAGTGTTTTAATGCAGATCCTTAAGACATATAGTTTAGAATTTCAAAAGACTCACAATAATTATTACTTCTAACAGCTCATAAAAACTATAAGCATTTAAAGAAGAAAAAATTCATAAGTGCTAATTAGATGTTTGCAAGGAACAACCCCCATCCTACCCACACTGACAAAAACAAAAAAGCAAAGAACTATAATTAATACTCTTTAGAGATGAGATTTTTTTCTTTACTGGCAAGCTCTTGGTTTTTGATTAAATCAGAGATGAGGGCAAACAGGGAAAGATCAAAACAAATGGGAAAAAGATTAATACACTTTAGATTGATCATTCTTTATGTTACAAAAACTCTCATATACTAAGCTTAAACACATAAAAAGTATAATTATTTATTTATTTATTTATAACCTATGGGGGAAGAAAGAATAGGGTTGAGGAAACACTAGGAAAGGTACTTTGAAGATAATTTTGGTTTGAGATTTGGCCATGGTACCATGAAAATATTTTATATAGTTATAAAACAATTGTTTTTAAAAAAGAAATCACTAAAAAAAATCAAAAGTAAAATTAAACAAATGAACTTAACTATATATCCAACTGGTGGCATAAACGCAAAGAAATGCCTATTACAAGTGACTTTAAAGCATAGTCATTAGGATTATATACCCCTGGTGGAATATACCCTAAGTATAAACGATTATCAATAATTCGACTTTTGCTGATGAATTTATTACTGAAATGGCTGTGTATACTGTAGGATAAATCAAGTAAAAGACAATGATGATTTTTTTGAGAACCAAGATAAATCTGAATTTGAAATATTTTACTTTCAAAAAATGCATTATTTCCTAGCTCTGTCCACTGAAAAACGATGAATGACCCAGGAGCCATGAAGACCATGAGGAGCAACCCAATACCCTAGCTTCCAGATTATCGTATCTAAAGGCCATTTCCCACTAAAAGAAACCACAATTTCTTAGAGAAATAGCTGATTTCAGATCTGAGGCACAAAATGAACAAGATGAACCCAAAGCATCTTGTCATATCAGAAAGCATGAAAGCTATCAATAACTACCATGGTCATATCAAAAGGACTCAGGAGCCAACCTGAATAAGCCCCACTGGCCAAAATGAGACAATCTGAGCAGAAATAAAGATAATACCTGCAATAAACTGAAATACATTTATATTCATGAGACATGATGATGATACCAAAAACACTCAAAAGACTCACTGGTTATCTCTGGAGGATACTAATGAACCACTTCATTATTTTGAAAACTGGTAAATAAAGGGGTGAAAAAATCAATCATTTACCTTGCCTTTCCTTGACAAACACTAACTCCAAGGTAATCAAATTATTGATGAGGACGGTCCTTTTTATAGAAATAATCTAGCTAATAAATGAAAGAGGACCAATAGAATTAGAAAATCATTTTTCAACAGTAAATGAATTAATGGACCCAGACATTGATCGAGTCTGAAAACATCATGGCAGAGCATAGTGGTGCACGCCTGTAGTACCAGCTAGTCAGGAGGCTGAGGCAGGAAGATCACCTGAGTCCAGGAGTCAGAGGTTGCAGTGAGCTAAGATGACACCACTGCACTCTATCTGGGGCAAAAGAGCAAGACTCTGTCTCAAAAAGAAAAAAAAAAATCACAAAAAGATAAGCAACCAGACAATATTTACCTCTGGTAAAAATTCTCAAATTATCTATGAAGTAGTCTTGCCAAAAACATTTAGACATTTAAAAAAGAAGAAAAATTTTGAACCTGAATTTGAATAAGCCTCTAGATCTGTAATCAATTCACAGGAAATAGAGGAGCACGTTAAATGACACCACAAGGATGCAAGCAGCAAAATCCAGACTCTGGGAAACTTAAGACAAACTAGCCAATTTCTTCCATTAAAATAAAAAGCAAGGAAAATAAAAAAGATGGAGGGGAAATCTATGGATGAAAAGAGATCTGAGAGACCTATTAACCAATCATAATGCATGGATCTTATTTGGATCCCTACTTAAGTAAACTGTGAAACATATACCATATATCAACATTTATAGTCCTGGACATTTATAGATAATTACTGAAGCTGAATGAAGAATACATTGGGTTCATTATATTATTTTCTCTACTTTCACAAGAATTCCCATAAAAAGTTTTAAATTATTTCCTTTGCTTTCACCTTCACATTGTTCTACTCACTCTTTCCCCATATACCCACCCTTTTAAGCATAATTTAAGGAAATAGCAGAAATAATGTAAATAAGTACAACTGTAACATAATGAAACTAATTATTTTGCCATCCTAAATGTAAACAGTCAAAATACGAAATTAGCTAAAAGATCAACTTGCATTGTATAATAATCCTTTTTAAGATTTAAAAGGAACTCATGAAAACTTACCAGAATCTATCTGTGATGAAAGCATCACCAATGACTGTGATGTTTCTAAATCATAAATTACTGCATTACCAGTGTTGAAAGAGGTCACCATATGAGCTGGATCACAGCCTATAAAGTCAACCGATGTAGGTATTCCATGCTCTAAATGGAGCCCAAAGAGATAACAGTGTAAACACAGTAATTCTGAAATCTCCCCTTTTCTAATAAGAAAAAGGAATTCAAATATTCCTAAAATAATGTTAACAATGAAAAAGGACATAATTGTGTCAGGATGGTGAGATAAGAAACAAATTTTCTTACATTATTTAAAAAGGTTTTATTTGTAATATTCCAAGAAAAATATAGCTAGAGAGGTCTTAAAGTAAGAGTAGATACATGCAAAAGTTGTTTGTTCTCTGTATTTTCTTCTAAGAGAGAAAAAAATCCTAGGTCAGTCTTTTGGCCCACTTGCCAATTATATCTCTTAGTGTAAAATGATAAATTAGCATTCTCACATCATTATTCTGGGAAACTGTTGACCTATCAGACATCTGTAAGTCTTATCAAGTAGCTAATACAAGTCAAATTTTTGGATCTATGAAAATGAAGCTTGGACTCTAGAATCCCCTGATGTAGTACTACCTCCCCTAAAGTGGCCTGAGCAGAAATTTCTCTCTTTAATACATTATATTAAATTCAACCAGATCAATGCACAATTAGATGAAGCCTAGAGCCAAGCAATTAATTATCTGGATGAAGCAAGAAACAAGTATCTAAATGAATTTTTACCTCTAAAATTTGGGTAATTGAAAAATTAGCAGAATGACTAAGGTGTCTAAAAAAGACACAAAATTAAGCATTTACTACTCAACTAAAATATATTAAAACAGATATTTTTAATACAAATAAAAGATCTGATTAAAAAATAAATGACTTGGAAAATAAGAATAAGGCTATATATAACTATACACACACACACACACACACACACACACACACATACACATACATATCTTAAAAAGGTAAACTGGTTAAAGCCTTCTTTGACAGGAAAAGATCTGAATAATGAAAGTAACCCATCCCATACTTCCCAGATAAGGGTGCTATTTCAATGATTATGGATGGATTATCCAACCAATCTGCTCAGAAAAACCGTACATGGTTTGCAAGTATGCTTGAGACTGTAATCCTTTCAGTCTTTTTGAGTAGTCACCTGGAGCGGGTAGAGTGCCTTCTGTTGTTGACCCTGAGTACCCTCATTTGTCTACTCCACTGTTACATACAAATTATTGTGTTTTTTAAATGGAACATGAAAAAGGTCAAAAAGCACCATGCTACAGAATATAGCTGCAAAGCACTACAAATAAAAAATGACTAGGAGTAAAAAGAGTATCACAAGTTTTATAAAATTCTTTCAATATATCTCTTTGGAGCACTAAAGAAATACATCAATTACTTTGTCCTTTTTATCTTCCAAATTAAAAAAAAAATTAGCTTTTCTTACAGAAGCAAAATTTACTTACTTTTGTCTCCATTGTAAGTGCAAATACATGGCAACTTTTCTTGTGGATTCCATAACCTAACAGTGCCATCTGCTGAACAAGACAATAATTGATTTTTTATGCCACTATAAGCAAGACCCCAGACTGCATCTGTATGAGCAACTAAAGTGCCAGCTAGAACATTTGGCTCTAGGAAGAAACAAACAAACAAAAAATTAGCTAAAGGAAATGCTTTAGTACATAAAGATAAATTACCCCATATACTAAGTATAAAGAACACACATAAAGACCACAAGAAGATAAACCAAAATGGACACAGTGGCTACTACTAAGTGCTGGGCCTATTTTTATCCTTCCCTTTCATCTAATACTATTCTGTATTTTCCTAATTTTCTATAAGGAACAGATACTTAAAAAAAAAAAAAAAACTTTATTGACATATATATATAACTTACACACCATACAACTCACTCATTTAAAGCGTACAACTCAATGGTTTTTAGTATGTTTGCAGAGTTGTGCAACCATCACCACAATCGATTTCAGGATACTTTCATCACTCATTAGCCACTTTTCCCCCAATTCTTCCTCCCCACCTTTCCGCAGCTCCAGGCAAACACTCACTAATCTATTCTGTCTCTATAGATATGATTATTCTGAACATTTTTTATTTTTGTCTCTGACCCTTGATTTAGGATATTCTGAAAATTTTATATAAATGAAATCATACAATAAGTGGCCTTTTGTGACTGGCTTCCTTCACTTAGCATGACATTTTCAAGGTTTATCCATGTTGTAGCATTCATCAGCACTCCATTTTTTAGTGCCAAATAATATTCCATTATATGGATATGTCACATTTTATTTGTCCATTTATCAACTGGTGGACATGTGATAGCTAACAACATTGAGCATCATTTGTCTGACAATCTTGTTTTTCTAAGTAAACACCTCCCACTTCCCTTGAATATTTCTTAGCCTCTCCACTATTCTCAGTTTCCAACCTCCCTTCCATAGAATGATTATGCCTCATACTTCAGTGAGAAAATACAGCATTCAAATAGGAACCCCTCCCCCATCTTCTTGCCACCCAATCTATAAATCACTAAAGCCATCTTCTCCTAAGCTTCCAGATACAAGGAATTTGTCCTTCTATAGAAATCAAAGGCTAATTCCATCAGCTGCACTGTGAATTCCATTCAACTCACTAACTTGCTTTCATATTTATTGTTTCTCATAGGTATGTCCCAGAATCTCTCAAACTGAACAAAAAACATCTTCATTAAACCTATCCCAGCACCCTTCTGCCAAGCTGTAGAAAAAGCACATTGAGTAAACATGCTTTTTACCTTCTGTTTCCTCTTCAAATCAATCCAATATGGTTTCTGATACCATTACCACACCAAAATAACCCTTGCCAAGATCACCAATAATGACTTCTATTCCATCAAATGCAATATTTTGATGATAAAAAACTTTTTTTTTTTTTGGTGGTTGTTCATATCATATTGCTTTTTATCCATACAGTCTGATTTATCTGTTACAAGGTTATCCAGAGGTCCCTTCATCCTCTGGTCTTAGCCCCACTGTCTAATCTCTGTCTGGCCAACACCCAGGTATTTGCCATCTTACCAAAAGGAACCTTTCTATCCTGTTATTAGACCTCTCAGCAACATGTGAAAGTGTAGACTGCTGCCTTCTTCTCAAAATGGTTTCTTCTTTGGTATGCTTCTATGATTCCATACTCTTCTGTACTTTTTCCTATCTCTTGTGGGTCACAACTTTTCAGTGTCCCTTTGTTGGCTCTCTTGCTCTAGCCACCTTCCAATGTCAGAGTTACACTTTTGTCCCAGGTTGTCTTCTCTTCTTACCCTACACAACACACTCTCCTTATGTTTTAACATCCATTATCACAGCTTAAAGTGTCATCGGTATAGAGAAGACTTTTATCTCCAACCCAGATCTCTTTGAGCTCCATATTTGTATATTACCTACCTGATACTGCCATCTCTAAACATGGCTAAAATCCAACTCACCATCTTAAATCTCCTCACACCTGTTCTGCCCTCATTTCAATAAATGCTACCATCACCTATTTAGCTGCTCATGTCAAAAACCCAGGATTGTTGATGAAAATGTTCTGAAATTAGATAGTGGTGATGGCTGGTTGCACAACCTTATGAACATAGTAAAAACTACTGAATTGTATATTTTAAAAGGGTGAATTCTATGGTAAGTTATATCTTAATAAAGCTATTAAAAATACATAACCAAATCGAGCATCACTCACCTATCACTTTTATCTACTCAATATAATTTATCAATAAATCCTGTCTATTCTACCATACTTCCCAAATCTATCTTAAAACCACTTCTCTCTAACTGCTCCGGTACCACCAACTCTTATCTTGGCAACATCATCTATCACCTAGTCTACTGGATTACTACACTATAGCAGCCTCCTAATTGGTATTTCTGTTTCTACTCTCCCCACCCCCATTTATTTTCCTCACAACAGTCACAGTCATCTTTCTAAACCTTGCTTTCTCAGGTCACTTCCTGGCTTAAAACTCTTTACTGAAAGCTCCTTTTTATTCTTCAGATTTTGGCTTAAATGTCACTATTTTAGATAGACTTTTCCTGACTACTTATCCAAAGGGTTCTGCCTGTCACTCTCTTTCACAGAACTCAATCTTATCATTTATCACAAGTCGTAACCATAGACCCCCATTTCCTTACTTATTTAATGTCTATTTTTTCCATTAGACTAAACTTTATTTTTTGGCATAGTACTTACCACTATGAGTGATAAACACAGGCACCAAATATGTGTTAAATAAAAAGAACTAAGAGCTCATAAACATTTTGTTGTTTTTTTAATAATCAGGGACAATGCCCTTATAAATTTATCTGAACACACACAAGTAGGTAATTCTGTAGGACAGATTTCTAAAAGCTTCATTTGTAAGTCAAAGCGGGTTTTTTTTTTCCTGTTTTGAAATTAAAGAATGTTTTGGTCTCCAAAAGTTGATTTACACCCTTACTGTCTGTCCCTCTTTGCTTCCACTGTTTTTTGCTTAATATTTTTGAACTATATAAGCTATTTAAGTTTAAAAATTTGTTAATTAGATATTTTGTTTCCTTTTCCTTTTAGAACTGAAATTAATTAACAATTCAATTAATATAGATTAATGTACTTTTTTTGGACAACAGAGAACAAGTTTAAAGACTCATAGTATGACATTTCCTAATTTTTCTCTTTAACAAAACACACTACTAGCAAATGGAAGAACTAAATGAGAAAACTAATATATGTTTAAACAATCTTATAATAATATTTGAGGTATTTAGTTTTGTCAGCTCCATTCACACCAAAAATACATTTTGATCCTTTCACTTACCATATGTATCATATGGATCCACATTAGGACTAGGCATATTCCACCACTGGATGGTTGCGTCAATACCACCACTAAAACACTGTTCTCCATTAGAACTAATAGCTAACGACAGAACAGGACCACTATTATAGGAAGAGAAGAAAAAAATTACTTACAAATCTTAAGAATTCAAATCCCCATTCCTCCATGGCTGAATTTATGTGACATCTAAAAACTGTTCTAGGAGAACATGCATATACATTTGAAAAATGCTATTATATTCATATTATTACTAATTATTAAACAGATATTATTTAACTAATATGTCTTTTCTAATATAAAACAATCACTGAGAAAATTATAAGGTTTGAGGATTAATAACAGTTAATAATTATGGTTGTTAATTAAGTACCAATTCAATAAAACTTACATGTGGGCCCTAAATGTGTAGATGGGCTCTACATCTAAAGAGGCACTCCTAAAAGAGGGGGGAAAAGGGTGGGGGAAGAGAAGGCAATTAAATAATCATAAATCACTGGTTGATATTAAAGAGTAGATAGATCAACTGTGTACATAAAAGATATGTGACAATAAAGAGGAATAATTACTTATATTAGCAAAATTGGAACAAAAAACTAGGCTAACATTAATATACTTGCTTTTTGGCAGGAACTGTTTTTTGCAGATTCCAAAGTTTCAGGGTATGGTCCTCAGAGGCAGTAACCAGCACAGGTTCTACAGGATGAAAAGCTAATGCCCGTACTCCATCAAAATGGCTACGTAGCGTATACTTGGGGTTCCATGTCTTTCGAAAGGCATCTTTATTGGCAGGCAACTAAAAAGAAAGAGTGTAATATTTAGTGGTAAAAATAGTAAATTGGTAGGCATGTGGAGTTTTTGTTTGTTTCTTTTTGGTGAGTTTAACACATATATTTAAAACTGTTTTGCTAAAATGTCCAATGGAAATTTAATGTACTTTAAAAACTTTATAACAAATCTTCATCATTTAATAACTCAGAAGAAGAATAACTTCATTAGCCTTACAAATACCTAGATCAAATAAAGAGTTCCTTAATCTGGTTTTACCTAATTATCAAGCTAAACCTAAAGCTCCTATTAAATGTCAAATGAGAACAAAATAACTACCATTGCTGCAATATTCTACATGAAAACAAAAAAACTTAAATAAAAATTATTACCAAATACCAAAGGGTACAGTATTAACAGTACAGTTGTCATTCAGCAGAATTTATCACGTGAAATTTTAAAGGCAGCAAGTTAAGGTATTTTCTAAAAGTCTGAACTAAAGATCCTTTAAGATTGTTTTCATCCCACTTTCGTAATTCTTGATACTGATTAATCTTTTTACCTTCATTTCTCCATCTGTAAAGACAGGCTGTAAAACCACTTTAAAGCAGTCACAAGTTTACTAGAATTTAGTTGCTTATATACTTTTAAAAATATTAATGAGAATAATCCAGCCCACCAACGGCTGTCTCTAAAAAGCATGCAACATAAGTAAAAAATGTAGAAAAAGAAATTCATTATAAAAAGAAAAAAATTAACTTGCTGAAAAACTGCAATTATCATAAAAATCTAAACAAATATAGTTAACTCTCAATTGAGTGTTAAATGTCTAGAAAAAAATTAAATCCAAGACACATTTCGTCTCAAACACTGGCCTTCCCATCCCTTCCATCCTTTCCCCAACCCGCAAATGAAGGTGTTAAGTATTCAGGAAATGATGCAAGCTAACTTTAACAATACCATTAAGAAAATAAAAGTTCAAAAATAAAACATGCTTTTTAAGAAGTATTCTAAAGACAAATAAATGATTCAGGTTATCTAGTTTTTTTCTTGTTAACACCAAAATATGGCTTCATTTGAGATAATTGAGAGTTGACTACTCAAGACATATTTATTGACCAATATGTTAAGGTAATCATCCCAAACGTCTAGCTACTCCACCAAAATACCTAATAAAAATTTAAATACCACAAAGAAAGTAGTTATAAAAGAAAAACTACATGTCACTTCAAATCAACACAATGGCACACTTAAACTTATCTTTTCCATGCACCTTGACATTAATTCTGTTTTATAAGTGATTCCAAAAAATAAGGAGCCTTCTATTAAATCATTAAAAAATTAAAAATAAAACTGCACTTACATCATAACTATAGTCTGCATCATTTGTTACCGTCAAGTCTGCAAGGTCTCCAAGGCCCAGTACACTTAACAAAACATCATCAGAACCCATAATAAATGACTTGCCTCCTCCAGATGGAAACGTTATTGGTTCAGCTATAAAGAACAAAACCGCTTCTTAAATGCTGAAAAATCATACAGTACAAGACAATATTGTGGGGGAAATTTAAGCACTTAACAGTTACAATATTCAGTAATATAATTAATTTTTATTTTCTCACTTCCACTCAAAAAATCCTACTACTGAACAGTACTAAACAAATGTGTTACAACTACAATGTAGCAATCTTCCATAAATCAAATGTGCACTACATATATTATTCTGGGGTAGGTGGTGGGGCACAAAAGCTTTGTGTATTTAAATCTCTTATCACTTCAGTACAATTATAACAATAGTTTACATGTTAAGTAAGAAATAGGACAAATTCTGATTAAATAATGGAGTTACGTATCAAGATTTCAGCTATTCCTGGGGAAAAACCTCTACGATTGACCTCAGAGTAGCTCATACAGTATTTTAAAAACGTAATAGGTTGTTGCTAAGTATTTTTGTTTTCTAAAGAAGTGCTAGGCATTCTATCGTCTGGTAAAAAATAATATAAATATACAAATATAAATAGTTTTCAAACAGTCTGCTATATTGTATCAGTTCACTGGAAAGAAGCCTTAATTTTCAGATGCCTTCAGTAACAGCAATGGTCTAGAAAAAAAGGCAGTTTTACCACCAATATGGGTTTCCTTTCTGTAAAAGGTTAATCCATGCAATCTTCAGAATGCCTTCTAGGTTTAAAGCTCTGATTATAATTTTTATTTTAATGTCCCCCTTTATTTACTTTGACACTTGTAAAATGAAGCAACTAATCTATATCAACTACCTACAGAACTTTAAGTTTTGATCAGAATTACTTGCCATTTCAATTTAAAACTACACTCAGGTGAAAGTTTTCTTTTACTTTTCTTATCTTTACTATGTGCGTTATTACAGCTTTCCATGTTAATATCAGCAGTTCAAATTAAATTACTTAAAACGTTTTTTTCTCTACACATACTATTCCCCAATTAAACTCTGCCATAATTGACTGACTACACTCTAAAGATTTTGCTGTAACAGCCACAGCATAAGCAATAATCCTTAATACATTTCAAAAGCATGCTTTGAAAGCAAAATTTTAACATTAAGATGCAAGAAACATACTCAAGTCATTATAATGCAAAACAACTCAATATAACAAAACATACTTAAAATTCATGAACAAATTTTAAAAAGAAACATACAAAAAGCTCAAGCTAATTAGTAATTTTGAAAAGTTCCTATGAAAAATGCTATAAATTTAATATGCTACAGCAAACACAGTGAGTATAATAAAACTTGACAGTCATCACTACAACTACCAAAAATAATTCTGAGTATAATTTCTATATACTATGACAAAAGCAAAACTCGTCTTTATTTCGAGTATCTTATTTTTATTATTTTATCTTACGTCAAAGTAAGCTATATAAGTTTTGACTCAGGATCCTAAAATGAAGTTGTGATTCAGCAACTGATCTAGAGTAAATCTGAAAGCATATGAAAGAAAATATATACACAGGGATACTGAATAGTATTTAATTAATCTCTAAATGATTACACTTATAGAATCTGAACAATCTGTAGCACTGATCTTTCCTCCCAATATCTAGTATGCAGTTTTTGGTAACATCAGAAGCAACTAAGAACAATAAAATCAATAGTTTACAATTATGTTTAAGAACAATTATCTAAAAGTCATTAGATGATATTTACTCAAAGCATTTTTCATCAGGACAAAGAAATATTATTTTCTTTAAGCTCATAATTTGTTTCTTAGAACAAAATGCCACTAATTCCTCCCACTCGTAATGATACAAAGGTTCACTAACACAAATCTTAATAAAAGTCCAATAAAGTAACTGTAACATAACGAATTGTTTTGTATTTTTACATCATCTTTTTGCAGGAATACTGATCAGCCAGGAATACTGAGCAATTTAGGGGCATGTGAAGGGAAGTATCTGGACAATATTAGCTAGTTTTCCTGCAGTTTTAGACTGACTATATTTAACAAAAAATTGGTATACTCATTTCTAATTAATCATATGACTAAATTTCTATCCTTTATCTATACACAAACATCTACATATAGCAAGCTATCATGTTTACTCAAAATTTATTTACATATATATATGCAAAAAAGCTTTTAAGCTATTATTTCTGCTTTTCCTATCATAGATCACTGTGGCTTATGTTAATCACAGTAGGTACTCAGTATGTCCTGGGTTCTCAGCAGAGGAAATTAATTTCTACTCTACAAGTTCATTTTATTAACATTTATATAATTCCCTATTGCACATGGTTACATAAACATAAAAATGTCATTAGCAATTCAAAGAAAAATATAATTATTAAAAGAAGTAGTTTTTAATTTAATGATGGAAATTATAATACTTTTTATCAGGTAGCCAAAGAGATTTCATCAAGCAATGGAAGAATACTAGTATCATGGGTCTATGAAATGGGATCTTATAACAAGGTTCATTTCATACTTCTATAACTAATCTTCCTTTTTATGGGCACTATGACTAAGGAAACCTGTAGCTCAAATATCAAACTCCTCCTTTCCCCTCCAATTTTATCAAACCTAAAGGGTACAATCTAGTAACTCATTCTATTTATGCCAGAGGCAACATGCTATGTCTTAAGTCTTTACTAACAATAGTCTGGAAGGTTGTAATGTAGAAGTAACTCTCCTAGAAAACAGACATTTGTTCTTTATAAAATGAGGTATAACATGGACTTCAAAAGGAAAGCAAGAAGTTGGGGGTTGCCACTGAAAATAGGAGATTATGAACTCCAATGTTTTCCCTCTTAGCTTGAAGCCAAACTCAGATCTCTTCAAATAACAAATTCTAGTAAGATTTACCCTTTGAAAAGTATAATGAAGTTCACACTTATCAAATCTCCCCATCCCCCTCACCCCATCCTCCTATCATTAAGAAAGAGATCATTACATTTTTCTTTACATTTTTTCTTTAAACCACACACATACACATAAATACACACAGAGAGCTCTAAATTGGTTTTTCTGTAAGAATGGGCCTTGAATGGCCTTTTCCATAAATCAATGGTTTGAAACATTTAAAAGGGTCCATACTGCAAGTACAGCTTTGCCTTAAACTGTAAAATGTGCAGTTTAAATGTACATTAATTACAAAAATTTTAGCAAGTTGTACCATGCATTATTTGGTAAAACAGACCAAAAGCTAAAGAAAGGAAATCGCTACTGAATGCATAAAATGAAAAATAATGAAGCTGGTATGTATATTTTAGAAAATACTTTTCAAGTAAAACAGGAAAAAAGCTCAATAGGTGACATGAGATCCACAAAAATTAACAGATACTGTTTTACTTTTCATTCATTTTACTTTGGTTTTATTATTTTAGTGATTTTTAAAATCTTTTCTCAAATTTTCTTACAGATTAAGGTGAGAGGTAAAGGTAAGGTAAATTAAGGTGACGGAATATAAAATTATTTAACTTAACTGTAAGGAGAATGTGCTACTAGAGAAATCTTACAGGGTGCTTAAAATTTTTTGACTAGGACATCAATCCCCTTACACAGCAAAGGCAGAAATATCAATGAAATTCAATCTATATGCCAAATTATTAGATAATGAACTATCTCATATCTTATACATCACAATAATCTTTGGTTAAAAATCAGATTCACTACTTGGAATTACAATAAACTAGAACTAGAATAAACTATTCAAGTGTATCTTCAGCTAAAAATAACTCTGGAAAAAATGCTTAAGTAGTACATTCATTTCCTACACATTTCTGATTTGGGCAAATTTTAGAAAATTTATTAGTTAGGTAGTATATACTTGCTACCGAGTTAAAGAATAATGATGTTGCCTTACTCTAAAATGATTAAAATAGGAGATTACAAACTCCAATGTTTTCCTTCTTAGCTTGAAGCCGAACTCAGATCTCTTCAAATAACAAATTCTAGTAAGATTTACCCTTTGAAAAGTATAATGAAGTTCACACTTATCAAATCTCACGTATTTTTAGAAGTAATATATGTAATGTTCCAAGCACAATGACACTTGTAGTTGTCTTCTACTAAGTGCTAGTTATTACTAGGTGCTAAATTTAGACAATATGACAAAGTGAGTAGTTTTTTCCAAATGTATTTAGAGTTTATTTTTATAAATTACTAGTTTTCCATTACTACGTCTGTAAGTTAAAGGTAGATTTAAGAAAGGTACTCTGAATTGACCTATAATGGAAACAACTCCACCTAACATTAAAAAAAACAAAATATAAAGAAATAGAAGCCCCAAATTTCAAAATCCCTAAAACAACTGCAACAAGAGCTTGCCCAACACCTTCTCTGAAGATCATATAAAATGATCCTCAACATTTTAAACAGCATCAAATTTGCAATATTAAAATGTGATTTGGAGTTAAGGTCTTCTGCAATGTAAATAAACATGGTAGCTGAATTTTTGTACCTTCCTCTGCTCTTGCACCTTCATGATCAGTCATTCTAGTAGAGGCTGACCTAGACTGATTAATGATTCCTGAAGAGATGTGGGGCAGCTCATCATCTCCCAGATCAGCTATCATGTCGTAGAGTTTTGTCCTGTTGACCCCTGTAAATTAACGTCAGCAGTAGAGGTTCATTTAATGGCTACCGCCTGACTTGCCAGCAGCCTTCAAAACCAATTTGTTAACAACACAGGCTATTAAATATCAGACAATTAAAGATGTCTTCAATTTTCCACACCACCCCCCAAAACACATTAAGAGTTTAAATATTTAAAACATTTACAATTTCTGTAGAGAGATATATGTATCTCTGCAGTATATTTTAAACAGAAAGCAGGGTGGTGAGGGAGGTAGGGAGGCAGGCTTCTGTTACTCAATCAAAGTTCCATAAGCTCACAGACACAGAAGGTACCATTGAAACAGAAAAATGTTGGTGTTTAAGGTTAATGTTTAACAGTGTAAAGAATAAAACAGGGGCTTTTCAACTTAATTCACTGTTTTAAAAAAGTTAACAAAGGAATAAGTACAAACGATTTTTATGAGGGTGCAACAAACGATTAACTTTACCTGGTGTTTCCATGGATATTTTCCTGCCACATTAGCACAAATTTGTCATTAGCAAATCAACCATAATTTCTTTCAAAATGTCTTTTTTTACTTTTCCCAAATTTGAAATCTCTAATTTACCCATGAACTCTGTGAATTTCTCATAATGATATGAAAAGTCAACAGTCACAGGCCATAATTTCAAGGGGAGAATTTCAGCTGCTGCCTGGATAATTCAAAATATACAAAACACAAAAGCTTCTGCAGTATGGTGGAATATTCTTTACCTTTGAACTTCAGAAATAGCAGAATCACTTATTTCCAACCATGTATTTTGAAAGAAAATTTAGTTTTAACAATGTAAAAAAAAATTTGAAAGGACAATGTTTTATAATCAATACAAAGTAAAACAATTAAAATAGGCATATCCAAGGTCAAACATTATGACCTTATATTCACTAATGTCAACATAAATGGACTAGACTGGTATATAATTATTAAATATTAAGTTTACTGTGGCTATTTGAGTGTTAGTAACTCTGTGAACTATGACTTACCTACGCTATGTATCCTTAACAGAATGCTAGGCAATGAGATGGTAAAACTTAATGGAAATAGGTAGAATCTTAGTTATTAGTTCTAATTTACAGTAATCCCTAACTTCTTAGTAATGCTTAAATAACTCTACTTCTGGATTATGTGGTATGTCAGGTAGTCTGAATTTTCTAAAATGATTATAACGGAGAAACTTGGTCTTACCTGAGGATTTTCCCCCAACAGTGGAGTAACTATAAACAAACTCTAATAAACGAAAAACTGTCAATTGGATGTTCAACCACCAGTTAAATTCAACGTGAAAGAAAATAAGTATTATTCTTTCTTACAAAATAGCTTCCTTTTATAACTTTCCCAATTGTATGACTACACCACCACTGATTTAGTTTGTTTTTAAAATTCTCCAACCACATCTTAATAATGTCTTTTCAATCTGTAAAATAAGGGGGCAAAAAGGCTGTTTTTCTTCCCAAAAAATCCTCCTTTAAAGTATTCCTCAAGTTAATCTTTCTCTCTATTGACTTTATTCTAATTATAGCTTTCATTCTCCTGAATTACTGTAATAAATTTCTACTTTTTTTCTTTTTCTTTTTTTTTTTTTTTTGAGACAGAGTCTCACTCTCTTGCCTGGGGTGAGTGCCGTGGCGTCAGCCTAGCTCACAGCAACCTCAAACTCCTGGACTCAAGCGATCCTCCTGCCTCAGCCTCCCAGGTAGCTGGGACTACAGGCACGCGCCACCATGCCCGGCTAATTTTTTTCTATTTTTAGTTGTTTGGCCAATTTCTTTCTATTTTTAGTAGAGACGGGGTATCGCTCTTGCTCAGGCTGGTCTCGAACTCCTGAGCTCAGAACGATCCGCCCACCTCGGCCTCCCAGAGTGCTAGGATTACAGGCGTGAGCCACTGCGCCTGGCCTCTACTTGTTTTTTCTATCTCCAAGCTCCATTTCCCTTCAATCACATTTGAATACAACTAAATTAATTTTCCAAAATTATCACATTCATTATATTACCCTTTGCTCAGCAACCACAAGTGGTACTTCAACACTCTTTTGATTAAGGTTAACTAATATCTTGTACTTAACCTTCCTGTGCTTCATGATCTGATCCTATTTTTTCTATCCAATCTTATCCACGATGTAAATCTCCTTCATTTTCCAGTCAAAGCAGTTTCCGTATAGTACCAATGTTCACCAAGGTTATTTCTGCCATATTTTGTCAAATCTGTCCTCCTGTTCTTCAGAAAGTTGAAAATACTGCCCCCACCCACAAGTTCCTGTCTCCTAATATCACCTTAGCCTATCTTAATTCTACTTTTTCCTTCAAACCAGTTACATCTCCTCTGTAAAGCTTTTGTTGATCTTTCCCTGCATTCTTATTATACTAGTGTATACCATAAAATTTGACCTTATTAAATATTACCTTGTAAATAATTTCATTATATGATAGCTAATGTGAAACATAATAAAGGCTTAACAGAAAATTTTGTTGTTAGAGATAATGTGAAGTCATAATCTTCCTGTACACATGAACTGGGAGACACAGACAGGAAGTAAAGTAGGAGACAATATGCAAGTTATTGTTCAAATGGAGAATCCTAAATTATCTAATGATTATTATCATTTGCATACTACAGCCAAACTTTAGTCTCTTTGTGGCCCAATGCCCAGTATATGAAAAGATGGAATTTCCCTGCTCTAATCCTAGTTTTGTAAGAGCTGCCAAAAATTGAAAGCAGATTTCATAACCAGAAATCACAGTCTTTGCTCTACTTTGTAGAGCATCTTTTAACTGCAAATTTAATTCTTCATTTTCTTTCTAAGCCTATTCAATAATCTAAGAAATGCAACAGAAAAATTTCAAATAAAAAATTTTAAATCTTATTAGCAGTGATGAAAAATTATTATGGTATTAAGTATAATAGAATATTAGACATAATACTAATAGCAATATTTAAAGACATTTGAAGAATCATTAAGCATTAAAATAAAAACTGATTCTCAATTATCACTGGAATCTATAGAAGTAGAAATGCTTTTTCCAAGTTTTTTTTAAGGGACAAGTTCTTGCTCTGCTGCTCAGGCTGGAATGCAGTGGTGCAATCGTAGATCACTGTAACCTCCTAGGCTTAAGTCATCTACCCACCTTAGCCTCTCGAGTAGCTGGGACTACAGGTGTGTACCATCACACCCATTAATTTTTTAAAAATAATTCTGTAGCGACAGGGTCTCACTATGTTGCCCAGGCTGGCTTCAAACTTGTGGTCTCAAAGTAATTCTACCACCTCAGCTCTCAAAGTGCTAGGATTACAGACTTGAGCCACTGGGGTCTGGCCTACTTTTTCTAACACTTTCTTTTTACTACTGTGAATTGCAAAACACAACCACCTACCTCTTAATCATGACTACCAAGTCCTACATAAATAAATGTACAATCCTCTAAACAGATTGCAGCACAATGAAAAACACACTAAATATGCCACATGTAAGCCAAGCTATGGACTAACTACTGCATTTTTAAATTCACACTTACACACACACACTTGTGACATGAAATTTATCTTCCCATATACTCTATTATTGTAAGTAAAGTAGTACTTTTTTTTTACAAATCTAACATTTTCCCTTTCTTGAATGTGCCCTTCTTTTGCTGATCTACATTATATTCTGAAGGGAAACCAACTGTGCTAACAATCTGGAAAAGATAAGCTTACTTTAGCATAAGAATTTAGTTAAGTCATGTTTGCTAGATCTGTTCTATTTTCTGACTATCATTATAATTGAAACTTTCGCATGACAATTGTTGTCTCAAATAAATATGACATCACAATGTTAAAGAAAAATAACTTTAGCTGCAAAGTGAGGGTATGGTTTTAAAAAGTACACTGACTGAGTTGAAGAACTGAATGGTTTGTATTAAAAGTGTAAAATTAAAGCCAGAAACATAAAACTACTGCATTTCTTATTTTAAACTATCTCTTTGTTAAGAAACAATGCTGTCTGTGTCTTTCATTTGATGTAGGAGATAGAATATAGCAACATTTTATGGGCTCTTCAAATTATACTCTCTGCTCCAAAGAAGTAGCTTAATCCCCCTAGATAATTTACAGTGTATGCAAAGGTGTTTTTAAAAGCCTACTGAAGGTTATTGCTACAAAACAATAATTTCCCTTAAATGTATTACAAATGCCTAATTTTTGATATTTGGCTTTGAAGCCACACTTTAAAAAATATTACATTTTGTGATGACAATGTGTTATCTTGGAGCTGAACAACAAATAACAAATACTAATATGAAAATTAAACAAGGAGGCTCACTTATAATTTCTATTAAAAGAAATGTTAAAAAAGTTAAAAGATGTTCCTTTTCCAATGTGCTGATAATCAAGCCAGAAGATGTACAGCAATTCTAAAATAGCAGTAAAGGAAGACAATGGCAAAAAATCATATTGTATACAGAGAAAAGATAAGAAAGTTAAGATAAATGAGAATAATTTTGGGAAAACTAAGACAAATCCACCCAGTAAAAATCAGAACTGCAAACACATATTCTCAATATATGAATTTTTAAAATGGGGAAAGCCTAGAAATATTTTCAAGAAAATGAAATAATCTTATCTTCTTGATAAGTCTAATTTTTAAAAGTATGATATGGCATACGAGTAACAATAGGCTCTAAGATAAGGGCACCTAAAAAGGAAGACAGCTTAAATTTTTCATGTTATTTAATATAAACAGTAACTAATATCAAAGAAAGTCTTAAAAGATTTTTAGTTCCTGTCTCGTATTCTAAATAAAGGCTCTGTATTTCAGGTGCCTCACACTTCTGATGCTATACACTGTGCAGTTTTTAATCATTATTTATTTACTTTTTTTTTTTTGAGACAGAGTCTTGCTCTGTTTCCCTGGCCAGAGTGCAGTGGCATCACTGTAGCTCACGGCACCCTCAAACTCTTGGGGTGAAGCAAGCTTCCTGCCTCAGCCTTCTGAGTATGTGGACTATAGGCACACATGTCCATACCCAGATAGATTTACACGTTTTTAGCGAGACAAAAAATATAGCAAAAATGGAGACCATAAAAAGCTAGAAAAATGCAACCGGCCCAAGAATTTTACAAAAGATTAATTAATTTAGAACTTTCCCTCACTATCCCCCCAAATTATAGAAAACTTAGAAATTTAATTAAAAAGTAAAAGAAAACTAGGTTTTAGGTTAGATATTACTGTTGTATTAATGTTAATTTCCTGATTTTGATCATTGTACTATGATCAAACAAGTGGCTAGGTCATATTTGTATTTAAGGGGCAACATGTCTACAACTAACTCAGTTTTCTGAACTGTTCAAAAAAAAAATGTATATATTTACAGAAAGAAAAGGATAAAGCAAATGTGGTAAAGTGTTAACATTTGGGGAACCTGGATTAAAAGTATATGAAATTCTCTGTGCTATTTTTGCAAATTTTTCTTAAATCAGAAATTATGTCAAGCTGAGTAGGCGCTGTGCCTGTAGTCCCTGCTACTTGGGAAGCCGAGGAGGGAAGATTGCTTGAGCCCAGGAGTTTGAGGCCAGCCTGGGCAACACAATGAGATCCCACCTCAAAACGAAGGGACAAAAGAAAAGAAATTGTCAAAATAAAATGTTAAAAAGAAAAGGAAGCTTAACCCTTTGATGCCTGAAACCAAAATAACTGCATCAAGCCTCTTTAGTTTGGTAGTCTTGAATTTTACAAGTATTAATAAATAAAGTATTAATACATCTTTTAAGTATATTTCACTTAGTAAGAAAGAAACACTGAAGGGGGTTCTACACTTGAAGGCAAAGGTGTCACTTTTAACCCATTTCCTCTTGCCTCGGGTGGGGGAAAAAGAAGAGTGGAGTGAACAAACTAGAAGACACAGAAACTTTAACTTAGCACTTGATTTTAAAAGCCTTTCCACTAAGAATCAAATATTGAGTCTTTACAAAGTTAAAAAGTCAATATGTCTTACCATTTTTCTCTTTCCCTTTAAAAAGGAATAAAAAAGACATTTAGATTAGATGACATCTGTTGATTCCATATATGGTAAGTTAGCAAACAGTTTTCTTCCCTCTAAGAAGATGGAGGAAAAAAATCTGTAGAAACTTGTAACTCTGTTATACAGTAGGGTGACTATGCTAATAATAATAATATATACTTTAAGACAGCTAGAAAAGAGGATGCTGAATACTATCACCACAAAGAAATTATAGATATGCTAACTACCCTGATTTGATCATTATACAATGTATTGAAACATTACACTGTACCCAATAAACATGTACAATTATTATGTGTCAATTATAAATATTTTTTAAAGAAAGAAATCAAAAGGCTACAGAGTTCATGAATTATTCCGATTTGTACAAAGCTACATGCAGAAGAAACCAGAATAAAAATCAACAAAGACTAGATAATAAAAATGCTAAGAAAATACTTGAACTATCGCCTTAAAATAATATTTTAGTATTAATATGATGATCTACTTGAATTAAGACCATGAGAAGTTTGTGATCCATAAAACACAAAATTTCTTAAATTTTATCTGCATGCCAGGGATTCAGAGCCAACATTTTCACGGTGAACTCTGTATTCAAGAGCAAAAAGGTTTTAATTTACAGAATTTCATAAAGTATAAAAAAGAAACATAATTTATTATTTCTTAATTATTCTTTCCTGAGACACTTTGCTAGAAGGCTTACCCTAGTATCTACTTATTTAAGTAACATTTAAAGATGGTGATGTTTACAAAAGTGTTTCAAAATTAAAACAATCTAAAGGTTTAACTAATGAAGGTTAGGTTAAATTCACAAAATGAAATACCACCAAAATTATATTTTAGATACAAAACACAGGCTGGCTGCGGTGGCTCATGCCTATAATCCTAGCACTTTGACAGGCCAAGGCAGGAGGATAATTTGAGGCTTGGAATTCAAGACCAGCTGGCGCAACACAGTGAGACCCTCTCTATACAAAAAATAAAACACTGGCTGGTTATGGTGGCACACGCCTATAGTCCCAGCTACTCAGTAGACTAAGGCAAGAGGATTGCTTGAGCCCAGGAGTTTGAGGCTGCAATGAGCTATGATGACACCACCGTATTCCAGCCTGGGCAACAGAACAACAACAACAAAAAAACAACAGAGGACTATAAAACATTAAGAAAGAAACAATGAGTTAAAAAACAATATAATGATATTCCAGTTGAAATATTAAAAAGGAGGTTTATGTATAAAGACTGAGTGGTAGGATTACAGGGACTTTTACTTTTTATTTTTTCTTTGTATGCCTACATACTCCTTATATTGTTTAAATAACAAGCATGTGCTATTTTTATGATTACATAAACAAAGTTAATTTTTTGAAAAAAAAGTCAAAATTAAAGGGGACTGGACTGAACAATGTAATACATATCTAGATAATAAGATATTATTGAGCCATGAGATCCTTAAATTATGGAACCAGAGTTCCTAGATCCTGATTGAATCACAGCAGCCCTTTTACCCAATTTACATATTAGGTTCTCTAATACTGGTTGAAAAAAAAATTAAAAACATATACAAAAAAATTATTTGTTGACATAAAATGTTTTCTATGAACTGTTAGCTAAATTATAAAATTGTCTGTATTATGGCCCAATTTAAAAAATAAATTTAAATTCTATGTGAGGATTTTAAAAAGTTCATCTGTTTCTAATATTTCATAAACAGGTATTTTTTTAATTAAAAAAAATTTTTTAGAAAAATTAAAAGCCTACAGAAAAGACCTTGCATCAACTTGTATCTATTTCTATACCTCAAAAAGATGTAGGTCTAAACATAGTCTATCAGCAGGAAAAATGGGATACTTCTATTTTAAATAAGAAGCAACATCAAGTAACATTTCCAAAGAAACCTTCAGCCGATTACATCAGTATGATAACATATACAAAATAAGTAATCCAATATTAAAATAAACGATCTCATTTCTTGAAAGAAAAAACTAAACCCTAAAATTCTAATGTCATTTTGTCTATACTAAAATAGTCAATCACACAAAAGTACTGTTATACTCAACATGCATACATTATAGGTAAATGATGTAGGAACTGAACACAATCCCAGCCCAGAACCAAATGTTTTTAAATACAATAAGCAGTTCACTGTACACTTAAAGAATGGTTTGTCTTTTTACTCACATGCAATAACATAAACTAGCATAAAGTTATAAAAGAAAATTGTGTAATAGGTAAAATCCCCAAAACTCTACTTATTAGCCTCCACAATAAATTAAACTCAAAAAATGCTTTACTGAAGGAAACTCATACCCTTTTCCATTTTACTTGCCATTTTATAAATGCATGTATTTGTCACCAAAGGAATTATGAAAGAATGCCTATATGGTTTCTGCCTTTGTCACACACTAGTTTCTCCTTGATATAATCAAAAAAGTTAGACTAGCAGGACTCAATGGCCAGTTCAAAATAAAGTTTCCCAAAAATAAGTTTCCAGTCTCTGTATTAAATACTCACAGGTGTGAAGATGTTTTTCATATGGTTAAGGTTGATTCACAAAATGGAAATGAATTACTTCTTTGAGAGAGGGGTTATAAATGCATTTATACTTTTAATAACTATACTGGTCAAGATACAATAGTGAAAAATACATCCGGGCACCATAAGACATCCAGCTATTGACCAAACAAACCCTACGTTTTTTGTTTTTTTTTTTTTTGCTGTTGCTGTTTGTGGTTGGATTAAGACCAGAAAGCAGAAAATTTTCTACTTAATAAATTTAAAGAAATCCCAAACTAAAAAATGTAGCCTGGATATGAGTTGGTTGTAGCTATAATACCCTATGTATCAAAAACAGAGAAATTTATAGTTTTATCCCTTTTGAATAAATTTTTATTATTTTTAACTCCAAGGCCAATATTCTTTACAATTTGGTTTAAAAGAAAAAAAAAAAACAAAAAAACAACTCAAAATCCTTCCTTCACCCTTACCCAACACATTTTAAATGATTTTGTGCCTGATCAATAACATACCCTAAATTATATTCAAAAAATTTCAAATATACAACAGACAAAGTTTAAAGTTAGTTGCCCCCTTTATGAAACAAAAAATAAAATTACATAAAAAAACAGAATTGAATAATTTTTTTCTCAATATGGGTATACAAAAATTTAATAGTCAGAATCTGCACTTACTCTTCACCCCTTTCTTCCCCTTTCGTTCCTTCTTGTACTGTTCCTTCAGTTTACTTATTAGTCCCTGGTCTACATCCCAAACCTCAGCAGTTGGGGAGAGGTCATCTTTATCTACATGCAGCATATTATTAAAAGAAAAAAAATCAGCAGTTGGCAATGCAAGCTGTTGGCAGTAAACTGTTATAACTTTACATAATCATAATAAAAATGTACTAACAGCATCTCAAAATACTTTAAAGGTGCAGTCTCAGTTTTGGTATTCACAACTCAAACTAAGTGCCCATGTCGTAAGTTTCTAAACATAATACCAATGACAGTTAAGTGGTGCTTCACTTTAATGAATGACAAATTTGACGGTTATCATTCAGTTACTGACATTAGAAATTTAATATTATAAAAAAGATCACTGCATCTTTATAAAAATGTTAATAAAAAAGTATTCAGCCAGCATTATAAAAGCAAATGAATGAATTACATGCAAACTACTCATAAAAGTGCAAGCTGGAAAGGTCAGTGCTGTTTCATTGATGACAATATTCATGCACCTCTGTCACACTGATTCTGCATGCACAGGATAACCGTACTAAGGAGAGGCATTCTAGTCCAATATAATACACATATATATTTCCAAAATACAAAGTCTCAAATAATCATACAAGGCATTCAGAGAATACCACCTCTGCCCTACCCCACCCAAATAGCTCAACATCTCATTACCTTTTTCCATTGGTCTACGACTAAGATTAGCAAAAAAACAAAACAAAACAAAACAAAACTGAAAACAACACAAATTGAAAAACCAAAACCAAAACAAAACAAAAACCACTCAAATTCCACTGAAGAATTTTTTTAGAATTGATTTTTTTAGGGTAAAAGTAGTGACAAGCATGGAGAAGTGAAAACATACATCTGTACATCTGCTAAAGATGACACTTGAGCTACTTTAGCTGAATAATAAATCCATATTTAAGTAAATACATGTGCCTAGAAAAAGATTTACTCATAGAAAATTAGAGGAAAAAACAGCATTAAAAAGAGGAAGTATAAAAATAAGGTCTTTGAGAATTATTTTAAATATTGAGTGTTTTTCCTTCCTTTGTTTAGTTTTAAAATAGCCATGTTATTAGGAAGTTTAACACTCTGTTACAGAACAAGTAGGAGTTTATATAGTCCTGTTATTAAATAAAAATTATACTGAAACACATATGCTAAGTCAATCAATGAGACTGAAAAGAGATTTTAGGGAAAACATAGTTGTCAAATTTTTGATAATTCAGTATATTTTGGCTCACAAGTCTTAGAAGTTCTCTAGGCCTCAGACTTAACCTATAGAGTGGACATAAAAAGGCTTTACTCCTTTAGAGATTGCTGTATGTAGTAAATTTAAGAAATTTTCTATATTTGAATGGCACACAGAAATTCAAATATTTACTGTACTGTGAGTCTTTCCTACTATAATTATCATCACTTTTTCCCTAATGGTTACATTACCTATGATCATAGGTGGTATGTGAAAAGTTAAATCCAAACCTTTAAGTTAATTTGCTAACTTGAATTACTTGAAACCAGGTTACTCAAGACTTAAATTTACATGTAAGATTATTTGCCAAACCTGCAAACTGTGATAACTGTTTGCAATAGTGATGATTCTGATTTAAAGTGAAAATTCACTTTTCATGTATTCTAATCATGAAGTTTCCTGAAAACTATGTTACATCAGGAATCTTTCTGTCAACTTACTAAATACAACAAGGAAAATGTACTCTAAGGAATTAATCATTTGTGCTCATCTTAATGAAGCTAACAATTCTTATGTTCAACTACTTACAGCAAGACAAATTGACATATTCTGAGGAAATACTTTTTAAACCTCAAAGAGACCAAAAAAAACCTTAAGTTATATAAATTTTATACAGGAAATTAGATAGAACAGAAAAATTTAAGAAGACAGTCAGACTTTTTAAAAAGACCTTTATAGAGAGAATGAAGCTGAGAATAGCTCTAACTAAAGTAGCTAAAGAGAGTGCAGTGAAAAAGCAAAGGGAATAAAAAAAGGATGAGCTTAAGGAAAAAAAAACAAATATTACTTGCAAGATAACCTCAAATCTAGAAAACAAAGGTAAACTTAGGCAGTGCAAGGAACAGGTTGGTGAATGCATATGTGCACGAACAGCATCCTGAAACTTGCCTGGTAAGTAACAGCTGATTTGATATTGCTTATAAGAAATAGATTAAGAGCAAAAGGGAAGAGGCAGCATAATCTTCTACATATTAATCCTGTTTTTAAAAAATCTAGGGGGAAAAAAATACCAAGAAATGAGGTTGAATCAATTACAGGAAGTTTGTCTAAAAGAAAACACAAATACGCACAAAAAAGTTGACTCTTGATAACTCAAAACTACAAAAACATGAAATTCTATTATGATAATTCTGATTACCAAAGCAGAGGAATTACACAAATCTACTAACTGTAGCATAAATTTATAACTAACTTTACTTTATTCACATGTTCAAAACTTTAGTTACTGTATTTAAATCCACTCAGGTGCTAACTGTATTTTGTAATCCTATAACTTTATACAGATCAGTTTCAAAGAGTGGGAAAAAATAAGTGAACATTCTTAAAATGCCTAGTCTCCATGAGAGAAAAAACAAAATCAGAAATGCCAACTAATATTTTTGATTATGAGAACTAAAAATTACTAACATTAAATTAGATTACCTAATACAGATGACAGAGGAAAAAGATCAAAAACTTTCTAAAAAGCAGTGGTTCATAACACAAAAGCATTCAAAATCAGAGACAGCTGAGCAGACTGCTAGTATACAAAATAAAAAATAACACTGATAATCTAATGTGCAAAAATACTGAAGTATGTTTCATTAAGATTTTCTTCTTTAAAAAAGTCTGTGTCCTTTACCCAATAATTTAAATCTGAAAACTACCACTTTCCCATTTATAAATATATTCAAAATTTTAGTAAATGAATTAAATAAATATAAAGAAGTGTTTGTATATCCACCTTTGTTTCGGAAAAAAATGACTATGACACTCATTGAGTAGAAACAACGAACTTCAGAAACACTACATAAATCCTTTGACAGCTGTCATTTCTTACAGAAAAAAACTACATGAATTATTTTGTACTTAAAAGAGTTCTTAAAAGAGTTCTTTTCCTTCATCAAACATTAAAATGCTTTTAAGATAGTGTTTCAGTCTTGTCTGGAAGTAAGAGACTTTGTTGGTTACTTCTATTCACACAGGGGATCCAGGTCACTGTCAAATACTGATGATAAAAAGTAAACAAAGTATTGACAGCTGTCACTCACTAATTCATCTCTTGAAACTCTGTTTTATAGTCAAAAGTCTTTGGACAGAAGGACCAATCAGTTGTACATAATATGGTACTTTTATTAAAGAGATTAATGCCATTTCAAACAAATTAAGTTCCTAAAATATTTGTTTATCCTTTTGACTAAGAGTTAAACTTCTAGCAACTTAATGCTAAGGGAATAGGAATGAATGTGTGCCAAGATTTAGCTAAAGAGATGTTTTATAAATTACTTTGAATTTTTAAAATAAAAATAATCTAAATGTGCATCAGTAGGGCCCTGGTTAAATAAAATCATGGCACATATTGACAGAATGTTATGTAGCTATTAAAAATGATGCTGCTGAAGAACTACTAGTAAGTGAAAAGTATAGGTTACAAATCAGCATATAGCAAAATCCTTTGTTAATT